AAATTCTTTTGCATTTATTTTTAATTTTGCTTAGATAAAAACAATCTCTTCTTTCTCATCTCAGAAACTTGCTATTTAAAAATTCTAGTTCTTCTTAGTTCATCCCAGTGCCCCCTTCTTCCAGACAAATTTAAGTCTCCAAAACACAATGAATCTTACTTCTCTTGTTATTAAAGTATGTACCTCTCAACATAATTCTGACATTCCACAAAAATTTCCTCATGTGTATGTCTCAGACATTCTACCCTTCTTAGTTATTTTCCTTACCACATCACAATATCCTAGAGTGAACTATTTCTGATCCCTCTGGTGTACCTTGACAAAGACAACATAAATGATGAGTATCACACCCATACACAGGTATCTAGTTACTATATCATATTGAATAGGGCTCTGTGTGTGTGTGTTTTCAGTTTTACAGTTTCTTTTCCCTCCTCTCCTCCCTGTTCTTTCACCACCACCCTCTGTTCCTACCCCCCAATACACTCCTCCGCCATTTCTATTTAGAAAAGGGCAGGTCTCCCATGACTATAAGCAAAACATGGCATACTAAGCTATAGTATAGTATAGTATAGTATAGTATAGTATAGTATAGTAAGACTAAGCACCTCCCCATGTATTAAGGCTGGGCAAGATAATCCAATATGGGGAGTACAGTACCAAGAGCCAGTAAAAGAGTCAAAGACAACTCCTGTTGCCACTGTTAGGAGTCTCACAAAAAGACCAAGCTATACACCTCTAACTGATATGCAGAATCCTAAGGTTAGTCCCATGCAGGCTCCCTGGTTGTTGGTTCAGTCTCTTTAATCCCCTATGAGCCCAGATTAGTTGATTCTGTGGATTTTCTTGTGATGTCATTGACCCCCTACCTCCCACAAACCTTTCTCCCTTTCTTCTGTAGGATTCCTGAATTCTACCTAATGTTTGGTTGTGGGTCTGCATCTGTTTCTATCAGTTGCTAGATGAAGCCTCTCTGGTGACAACTGGGCTAGGCACCAATCTGTTCACAGGAGATGGCCAGTTCAGGCTACGTATCTGCTATTGTGATGAGTCTTAGCTGGTGTCGTGAGTAGGGGTTTTTTGGAACTATCATATCAGTGGTAAGTACATCAACGCCAGAAGCAGCAATTTCCTAACTCTCACGATATGCAACCTAACAAAGCTTCTTCAAGACTGATGCATATAGGAAAAGTTATGTCACATTTTACATATTCTGATTGTTCTTTGTTTTTACAGAATATATGTGTATGATATATGCACACTTGTATTTGTGTGTGCCTATGATCTTGTGCATTCACATGGAGGTCTGAAAAGGATGTTAGGTGTTCTGAATTGCTACTATTTTATGCACTTTAGATAGTTTCTTACTAAGGTTGAGGCTTACTAAAGTAAGTCCTTACGATCCTTCAGCCTCTGTTTCTGGCCTCACAGTGCTGAAGTAACCATATCATGCAGCTACGTCCAGTATTTTAAATGAATTCTGGGGCTTTGAATTCAAGTCCTCATGTTTGTAACATTATCTGATGAGCCATCTCCCTAGCTTTAATAGAGCAGTTTCACCTGATAGTTGGCACATTTTATATTGTATATAAATGTTTATTTCTTTCTTTTTATTAAAAATAGATTTTTTTCTCACATAATATATCCTTATTGCAGTTTCTACCCCTTCAACTCCTCCTAGTTCTTCCTTACCCCCTCTCTAAATATTTGTTTATATAACAGAAGTTTTGTCTGGTAAATAAATTCTTTCCTGTTGCTGAAACTATTTAAAAAAATCTAAGTAACAGTTTTAGTGTAAAGCCTATATTTTTGCATGTTTGAGAACAGTTTAAAGTTCACTTGTTACTAATTTTGTCATTCACATTTTATAATTTCTCCGTAACTATGGAAATACTCCCAAATGTCTAAAATTTGGTTTTCCCATAAATACTTTCAACATTATAGTTATCAATTTTCTAACATAAAATTATCCCTCAAACAACATAGTGATGCTGTAGTGGCAGATTACAACAAACCATACTTTCAAAATTGCAATGTTGTAATAATTAAGACCACACTAGGATTTATCGGTGCAAGGATCCTCCATCAGATCCAAACTGCTGATGTGGCTTTAATGTGGATTAGGGCGTGAAAATAAATAGCCTTTGTGTCCTCAAACTGAACAGCTATCTTGCAGTTCCTTGACGTGTTATGCTGATGGTGTAAAAGTTCTTTTCTTTCTCTTATTATTTTCCCCCTAAGCCAAGCAGTCAATTCAAGTGTCAAAAGCAATTCAGAGTTTAAAAATCAATTTAAACAGGATACTTATTCTTACAGTGAAAATGGTATAGGTACAAAAATTTGACATTTTGTCAGAAATTTTAGTATTAAATGTAAAGGAACTGTTAATTATACATAATCATATATGTTAATTATATACAATCATACTATATATATATCATAAATACATACCATATACATATGGTATTAAAATTTGTTAAGGCTGAATACATCTAGCACCTGGAGGAAGGAATGCTAGGCGTTCTCGCTTATTTCTCCCCAATACAATTAGCATGTTTTAGAATTCAGTGTATTCAGATCCTAAAAGTCCAAGCAAGTCCAGAGTCATCAAACTGTATGATAACAGACAGGACATGAAGTGTGACATATGTCTTTACCTTCATGAAGCAGGGACACCAATGAAAATGTTCAGGACAGGTCACTCTGTTGTTGTAACCTTATTCACCAATGCAGGAAAGATTCTAAATTGTTATGAACAAACTGCCAATTGATTAGCTGCTGATAAGAGGGAAGTCTGAAAATATCTCCAATCCCTGGAGGTCGTCTCTGGTGTTACCACAGGAATTAAATCATCAATGAAGTGAGCATTGAATTTCTCTAATCCCTGCCTTTAACAATACATTTTGTTTTTATTTTCACATTTGGTAAAAAAAAAAAAAAAAAAAAAAAAAAAAAAAAAACATGCTCTTCTTACATTCCTCATTAACACACTGGTCACATCGTTTTGTACTTGGGTTTCTATTTTTATTCACTTGACAGTTGTGAATGCAAATTAGAACTCCACCTATAAAATTCACACAATATGGCTGCACAAAAATGATTCTAGAGTGTTAACCCTAAGATCCCAGTCTACCAGATAGAGTTGTGTCTATCTAACCATTTAACATCACTGGCTTTATTGCTTTGTACCCCGAATGCATTTCTAAAATGGAGCACTTAAGCAGAAGGTATGGCATCATTGCTTATAATGATAGTGAATTCTGCTATTCTAGCTGCAATAACAATGCCAGATATGCCAAAAAAAGAGAGAGAAAGAGAATCAAAATCAACTAAAGACATAGACAGGTGTGACCTGCCTGATAAGACAGAAGCAAACTGGGATCCAAACTGGGATCCTCAGCAAGATCAGTGTATGCTCCTTTTTTTTCCTTCATAGATGTTTTTCCTTTTTTTATTGATTTTTATTGAGCTCTACATTTTTCTCTGCTCCCCTCCCTGCTTCTCTCCTCCCCTTCATCCCTCTCCCAAAGTCCCCATGCTCCCAGTTTACTCAGGAGATCTCTTTTCTACTTCCCATGTAGATTAGATTAATGTCGGTTTAATTAGGGACCTCATTGTTTTCTAGGTTCTCTGGGATTGTGAATTGTAGGCTGATTTTCTTTGCTTTATGTCTAAAAGTCACTTATGAATGAGTAATATGATATTTGCGTTTCTGAGTCTGGGTTACCTCATGCAATATGATGTTTTCTAGATCCACCCATTTGCCTGCAAATTTCAATATGTCATTATTTTTTCCTGCTGTGTAGTACTCCATTGTGTAAATGTACCACATTTTCCTTATCCATTCTTCATTTGATGGGCATTTAGGTTGTTTCCAGGTTCTGGCTAAGACAAATAACGCATTGTTTGTCAAATCCAGTATATTCTCTTAATGGTTGAGCCATCTCTCTAGGTCTTGGAACAAATTTTTATGAGAAAAATCATATTAGGCTGGTAAGACGACTCTGTGGATAAAGGTATTTGCCGCCATGCCTGATGATCTAAGTTCAGTTTGGGACCCATATGGTGAAGATAACTTACTCCCACAACTTTGCATTTGACTTACACATGTACACCATGACATTTGTATGTTCATATATATATTATATACATATATATGCATATATATTCATAAATATATACATATGTAGTCACACAAAAAATGAATAAATGTATTGATTTTTTAAGAAAAATGAAATATCTGATCTCACCAACATCTTTGATGTCACACTTGGTAATACTACGAGGAACACAAACTTTGATGTGAACGAGTGTACACTGACTTCAAAGATCTGGACTCCGAACAGAGAAGTTTAGAACTATCTTTTCTTCTAACAGAAAAAAAACAAACATGGAATTAAGTCATCAATACTATTTAAATAAGCATAAAAATAGGAAATAAGCAGAAATTATTGATTAATATTTTAACTTCAAGCCATTACTTTTTCTTTGGAACACATAAAATGATGGTGCATTACACAACCAATGACATCATAGATTTGAACAACTATTAATAGTCCATTGTTTTCTCAATAATACTCTAGAAGATTCTACATTTTCATTCAATTTTAACATTATTTAAAACCCTTCATTAAGACATTCAGTTTAAATGATGGTGACTGAAACACGTTCAGATATTTTCACCCACAGTGTGAAGTTGTCTGTTGCTTGCAGTTAACAATACTGTTTGCTTCCTTGCTTTTGATGTTGGGCTCTTCTGAAGAACAATGACTTCTCCCTAAATTATCTTCAATATCTAGTATATATACTGTATGCTTTATATTTTAAGCTAAATCATGAAAGAGAATAATTTTCCTCTTTTGTAGGAGGCTGGTATCAGTCTATGTGCTCAGCAAGTGGTCAGCGTCGTGGTTACCTGCCCTGCACATTCCTAGGAGGATAGAACAATGAATTTCCCTTTTGCTATCTGTCTCATCTGTTATCATTGTCCATTTTTGTAGGTGGAATCCGCTGCCCCAACAGCAGTGCTTTGCAAGAGGTGCGCAGCTGCAATGAGCATCCTTGCACTGTGTACCACTGGCAAACTGGTCCCTGGGGTCAGTGTATAGAGGACACATCAGTGTCATCCTTCAATACGACTACAACGTGGAACGGGGAGGCCTCATGTTCTGTGGGCATGCAGACACGAAAAGTCATCTGTGTGCGAGTCAACGTGGGCCAAGTGGGACCCAAGAAGTAAGGCCTTTGGAATATCTGCAGTAAATCCTGTGGTCAGCCATGCGGAGGATTGGCTTGGGCTTTACTTGCTTCACTAAATGGAGTTTTTTTGATGCTTGCCATTCCTCTCCTCAAGAGAAGATTTGTTTGTTTTCAGTGTCAGGTGCTGATAAAGCTGTAACTACTTCTGACTCTTGTACCTGGGACCCATAAATTCTATAGAAACCTTTCTACCTGGTTCCCATTTTCAACTCTATTGCAACACAGTCTGCTTTTCTTAAGCTATTGAGGCAGAGAAAGAAGTCTTGCTCTAGGCTTGGCTGATCAATAATGACCATATACAAAGTTTTAGCAGTGAAGGTCATCCATGACCTCCTGTATATCCCTAGGCTTGGAGGCTGACAATCTATTTAATTGAGTAGAAGTCATCTTTCATTTCCCCTAGAAAAATACTGCATCACTAGTAATAAGGCCAACTTATATTTTTCAGTGGTAAAATGAGTAACCACTTAATTCCAACAAAGAGCCTTGGGATAAGACAGATGTTGTGATAAAGTAGAAAACATATCAGCTTTTTATGGGTTAAGAAGATGGTAACAACAAGGGAAACAATTTGCTAGTGGGAAGGACAAAAAACAGACTAGAAGTGTTAAGGGTATCTTGTGACAACTTTAAGCAAAACCAAGTGATGTCATGAAGGAAAAATCAAGTGAATTTTCTAAAAAAAAAAAAATTACAAATGTTCCTTTGAGTGGGAACATCCCATTTACTTTCTGAAACAGAATGATGTTTTTAGTGACTCAAATGTCCTTAGCCATATGGAATGTGGACAGCACAACCAACATGTTTTACATCGGTGTAACTGTGGTCTTGTGTTTCCTAATTATCAGCCAGGTGGCTTTGGTTGTCAAAGCTATGGAAAGGGATAGATAATGAAAAAAAAAACTCTGATGTAGTTATTCAATAAACATTAGAAATTACCGTTTTAAGAATGCAAGATATTTCTTTAGCTTTTTGCTTCAGTGACTTTAGCTTTTTGACAAATTTGTGGGTGTATGAAAAGCATTCAAGTTACTCTTTCTTTCTCCCATCTCTTTTTCTCCCCATCCATATTATGCCCCCTTCTCCTTATCTGTCCCTTTTTCAGTTGCATGATTTTGGTTTTGTTCTATGACATTTTCCAAGGGGATGAGAGCAATTGATCTCATATATGGAAATAAATCAGAGTCCTATTATACACTTTTATCTGGCTAGCATTCCAGATATTGAAGATATTTAGCACCATAGTCTAGTTATATTTATCATTTCAAATTTGAAAATATATTAGAAAATAAGTGACAAAGAGATACATATAAACTGAGAAACTCTACACACTTCCTATGGTAGACTCAAACTAGTATGTTAGTGGGAACTACACTAAGGTTGTTCTTAATCTCACTCAGGAAATTAATTTGCAGTATATTAAAATCCAATGGTGATAGCAGCAGCGGGTGTGAAAGTCCCAAGTCTGGCAGAGCCTGATTCTGGCTGGGATGAGAACAGAGACAGAATGCTCACTAGACCAGACAGGATGAACAATAGTATACTGATTTGCAAATGCCTTCCTCTATCTTTCGAAGATTGCAAATTAGAGCTACTACAAAAGAAAATGCTGTTCTGGGATGAGGCATGTACATGTGAAAGGATCTCTGTGTGATAGAACCCAATGAATCCAGCGTCATGAGATCATTTAATGAGAAGGGTGTACTGATGCTTCAAATCAGACCACCACAGTAATCCAGTAAAAGCTTATATGCCCTACAGCTGTTTTTCAATGTCCTGGATATGCCCATGGATTTCTTGAGTCATGTAGAGTTCCTTTGCCCTTAAAACTGTAGAAAATTAAGCCAAGTCAGTGAGTCCAAAAGAAAATGTTATTGCCCTTCTCCCTAAATGCTAGGTTAAATTCAATGAACACTTTCCAATACCAGTCATTTGAAACAAAAATGCAAATAGATGCCTTGTTTTAAACTCTTCTTAATAAAATAAATTACTGAGAGATGGCAAAATCAATATTATTGATCTTATCTATCCTCCCAAGTAACACACTTCAACTCCTATCACATCTGTTTAATTTGACCTTGAATAAGACTAGGAGGAGGGAGGAATCAATTCTTTGATTTAAACCACAAATGCTAAATACAAACAGTTCCAGGGAAAAGAAGCAGGTTGACTAAAGCAATTGCCTCACCAAAGGAAGTCAGAATTCAGTTTATTGGATGGATCTAGGCTGGATAGTTTATTTTTGTGTGTTCGCTTAATGACTTCATTGTTGGTAATTTTTCTCTCCACAGTTAGCCCAGTATCTTGCTGTGGCTATTTCCAAACTAAAAGAATATGTAGAGGGTCAGTGATAACATTGTAAATTCCATTGATTTATTTAAGGTTACATATTTGAAGAGCATGCAATTGAGTAATGGCCTCCCATTGTTAAAGTTATAAAATGCCTTATTGAAAAGAATTGCTTTCAATAAGAATTATTGACCAGTAGCTCTATAATACCAAAAGAATTCTTTAGATTATATGTTGTATTTTGTCATAAGATGTTTTCAAGTAAAATTGTAATTCTAGTCTTATAAAAATCTAAAGCATAAAACACATAATTCATGATTCATACTTAAACATTTTCTGCCCAACATTTTAAAGAGTCATAACAATTAGGAAAATCCAAGTTTATTCTCAACTAAGCTGGAAGGTTATTGGCATGTTAAATCTTAAATATTTTTATAAATCGACTTCCAAATAAACCTGAATTTTTAAAGTAAGAGGACACATTTTTTTTTCATTTTTTTTATTAAGAAAAGAAGAAAAAAAACATAAACAAAAAACAAGTTTCCACCTCCTCCCAGCCTCCCATTTCCCTCCCCCTCCTCCCACCCTTCTCCCCCTCCTCCCACCCTTCTCCCCCTACCCCTACTCCTCTCCCCCTCCCTCTCCAGTCCACAAAGCAGTCCAGGTTCCCTGCCCTGTGGTAAGTCCTAGGTCCTCCCCCCTCCGTCCATATCTAGGAAGGTGAACATCCAAACTGGCTAGGCTTCCACAAAGCCAGCACATTAAGTAGGATCAAAACCCCGTGCCATTGTCCTTGGCGTCTCATCAGCCCTCATTGTTCGCCATGTTCAGAGAGTCCAGTTTTATCCCATGCTTTTTCAGTCACAGTCCAGCTGGCCTTGGTGAGCTCCCAATAGATCAGCTCCACTGTCTCAGTGGGTGGGTGCACGCCTCGTGGTCCTGACTTCTTTGCTCATGTTCTCCCTCCTTCTGCTCCTCATTGGGACCTTGGGAGTTCAGTCCAGTGCTCATGTGTGGGTCTCTGTCTCTATCTCTATCCATCACCAGATGAAGGTTCTATGAAGATATGCAAGATATTCGTCAGTATTGCTCTCGGATAGGGTCATTTCAGGTTCCCAATCCTCAGCTGCCCAAGGAACTAACTGGGAACCTCATCTTGGGCAGTTGGGAGAAAGTATGGAATATATACACGCTAGAGTACTATGCTGCGGTAAAAAACAATGACTTCTCAAATTTTGCATGCAAATGGATGGAAATAGAAAACACTATCCTGAGTGAGGTGTCCCAGACCCAAAAAGATGAACATGGGATGTTCTCGCTCATAATTGGTTTCTAGCCATAAATAAGGGCCACGGAGTCTACAATAGGTGAATCTAAAGAAGCTAAGTAAGAAGGGGAACCCAAGGAAAAACATATAGTTATCCTCTTGGCTAAGGGAAGTAGACCAAATTGCCGGGGAGAAAATTAGGATTTTGGGGGTGGGGTGGGATGGGGGTAAGGGGAGATGGGGAGAGAAAAGGTAGAAGGGAAGGAGGGGGGACTTGGGGAATCAGGAGAATTGGGATAAAGGAAAGGTGGATAGGGGAGCACGGAACCACAATTCTTAGTTAAGGGAGCCACTTTAGGGTGGGCAAGAAAAGAGGACACATTTTTATAATAGTATAGAGCATTATATTTATGTGTGAGAAAGAACATATAGGCAAATAATTATAGGAAATATCAGCAAAATACTATAAAGAAATTATTGGAAAAAATAGTGTTAATTATTGTTACTCACTATTTACTCTTTAAAAGTGACTAATACAGAACTGGGCATGACACACACACCTTTAACCCCAGCACTCGGGAAGCAGAGACAGGTGGATCTCTCTGAGTTTGAGGCCAGCCTTGTCTTCAAAGTGATTCCCAGGCCAGCCGGGGCTGTGCAGTGGAACCCTATCTCAAAAAACAGATAGAAAAAAATAGAAAAGGAAGGAAGGAAGGAAGGAAGTTAGTTTGATGACCTATGTTCAATCAGAGAACCAGGATCCATGCACTGGCACATGTCAATACCCACACACATTCTATTCACACACATGCATGCATACATATGATAGTAATAATAATAACTATTATTATTATTATTTAAAAATACTGTCATAATATTTTTTGTCCTATTATCATGAAATATTTAGCTACAGATCAAAAAATTTTGTCCTAATATTGATAATTTGAATTCTTACAATTCTTTTATTGTACATACTAGATAATACATGTTTACTAGCGGAGAGATCATCCTAAAGGGAAAGATACAGTGGTTATATTTCTTCTAGATAGTGTGAATGTCATTAAGGATTCGTATTTGCCTCTGTAGCTTTGTCCAAGTAAGGTTGAAGTGAATTAATTGCCTGTTAAAAGCAGCCATGAATGCCAGAAAAAAGAGACGGTGGCTGCGACTCATATAGCAACAAAAATTGGTAGCAAATTAAAATAATTGGCTTTGTGGATTGTTAAGGACTGAATAATATTTTTCTTTGTTCTAGGTGTCCTGAAAGCCTTCGGCCCGAAACAGTGAGGCCTTGCTTGCTTCCCTGTAGGAAGGATTGTATCGTGACCCCATATAGTGACTGGACACCATGTCCTTCTTCATGCAGAGAAGGTATGGGGAATAGATTCTGAAGACTCTTTCCCCCGGACCCTCATTCAGCAGGCATTTGATTTCTTCTGGATGAGCAATTTGTGATTCTTGCACAGGGCCTTGTCCTAGCTTTTCATGAATGTCAAAACATTTGGGTTTCTTCCTGGAAATAATACCATGCTAGAGTACCTGGTAGGCAGTAAATTTAATGCCAGAGTATGCCTCGGATTTTTATTGTATGCAGCAAATTGAAATGATTCTAAATTTTATTAGTATATCTTATCTTTCATTAATCATGAGAGAATGTACACTGCTCTTGTGAATTTTTTAAGAGTGTCTCCAATGACCCAGTAGATATGGCTTCTAAACTTACTGGCAAGAAATAGCCTGAGACCAGGTTTACTGTGGACTCTATTATGTGGCCCAAAGATGGGAATAAAGCAAAGATAAAAACGACCAAACTGACTCCCTGCCAATACTTAATGTGCCATGAGGCATTTTCAGGATGAGTGTTTCTTTCCTGTGAGGTTTGGTTTTGCTTTTGTGGCTTGCAAAAACTCTTTTTTATCATGGTCAGTCCCCTGATAAATCTTTCTTTGCCCTTCAGGACATGGACTTTTAGCGTTCCCACTGAGAGAAATTTTCACACCTTCCATGTCACTTACACAGTAACAGCAAATTTTCTCTCAGTGTGACAGACTAAATCACCTTCTATTTACTCATTTTCTCTCTCAACCTGTGTGTTGTCTTCATGTTTTCTTTATGTTTAAGCTTCTTGACTCTCAGTGGAGATTTGCAATTAAGAGTTAATTTCCAGTTTGATGATGATTTTAACTTGCTCAATTTTATTTTAAACCACTCAATTTTCTGAATGTTTAATTGATTGTTTTTGCAGATGGTCATTGTGCAGAGGTGAAGCACAAGTTTTGGAAATTTTTGCTTATGAGATATAACCTCAGTATGTTGAGCAGGCAGGCGTGGTACTTAAAGTCTTTGTTCCTCTGTGTCAGTTTCTGGAATCAGATGTGCATACACCACATATAGAATGTTTGCTTTTATGTTTTATAGCGTACTATAAGTCTTGTATAAAATTAAACTGCTAGTGGAACAAAAAGATTTTTTTCAATGTCTTTTAAACTTCTCAGTAGCTTTAGTAGAGGAAGGGTTACTGCCATTAGTTTGCTTTTCTGTTTTTGAGACAGATTCTCTCAGTGTAGGTGAGGATTTATAGCACCATACCATTTTGTTAGTGTTCTGTTGAAGACCAAGCCAATAGCTACTCCACCAAGTGAGCTATAACCCCAGTTCACATTAGCTTTTGTAAAATTATTAATGGTTTAATAAATATTAATTTAACTAAAAAGAAAAGAAAATGTTAATGACATGAATTTTCTAAAAAGCTATGGCATTTTCTGGTTTTTAAAATAGATTTTATTATCTTATTTATTTATTTTCCTTAAAATCATATAAAATATAGTTATAGTTTCTTGGTCATAATCAATTACCATACTTTGCTGTAAGCTGTGATCTCTGAAGTATCTGGTGCTGTTCATCACGTCAGTGATAAAGATTATATATTACATTGTATCACATCACATTATGTTACATTACATTAGATCATATTACATGTGAAACCTTGTAGTGTTTTTTATTGTTGTTTTGGCTCAGGTTTTGGTTTAGTCTATAATAATTACAAAATCTTATCGAGTGGACACAGCACACTTGCACGTGGTCACTACGTGGCAAATGCTTTAGTTTGGTGTATTGGAAGAAATTTTTCTGAGAAACTTCTGGGAAACACATTGATATCATAATAGAGTAAAACTCCTTTAGAAAATTTTAACTGGATCTTATTATCAATTTCCTAATATGTTTATTATTTTAATACTTCATTAAAGACAGTCATTCTTTCACTCTAAATGCTTTTTAATTAGCTACAATGTGTCAAGCTTGATCACAGTCAACAAGATGATATCCTATAGATATCTCTTAATTTGTGTAAATAAAGCATCATCACTGAGTGTGAGGGTCAGTGAAATAAAAACAGGGTAAAAAAGAGCAGAAATTTCACTTTGGAAAATGACAAAATAAGCACACTAATATTCTATGGTAGAATGTATAGGCAATATCAAATTTTCATTTAGCCTTTCACTTATAAAGAAATTCCTCAACACACTGCAAGTATAACTTAACTCATATTCAGCAAGCGGAATGTGCAGAAATTAAAAAAAAATAATTTCTTTGAGCAAAATCAGTGAAAGAGGAGAAGGAGATGGAGCATGAAGGATGATTATGGGTATTTATAATAATAATGGTTACATTGAAATAGAAATGAGGTAATAAATGCAACATTAGAGCACTACAAAATGTTAGGAAAAGTTCATATTGGTCCATATTGAATTTGAAGAATTTTAGTAAGATTAAATAATTAGATGACCTATCAAGTAGGGGAAATGGTCAGCATACAAAATATTTGAAAATAAAAATATGCAAGTACTGATGGTTATGACACTAAAGTCTTAACAGAACACTGAATAACCGACACAAGATAAAAGAGAAGTCCATGAGATGCATGAAAGTATCATTTTGAATGCAGTGTCTAGAATGGAATGAACTTGCTGTTTTCAAAGAAATGAAACAGGTAGAAAGAGATGATTACAGCAAAGGTTATAACAAAGTAACTAATTAATAACGATTCTTAAAGTTACTGCCACAAGGTAGATGGAGAGTGAGACTAATGTCAGAAGTTTGGGAGATTTGAGGATTTTTAAAGTTAGAAGGAAGGAGAAAGAATGAGAAATAGCTAAGTGGAACTATGTGGTGTCTATTAAAAGAAGTGTAGAAAATTTCAGTGAATAACTGAAGATGAGAGACTGGGTATTCCAAATGAGTGTGTACATAAAAACATCAGAGGTGGTAAAAAATAAAAAGTTCTAATAAGTTATGCCTCTGGACAGTGCCGTGGATCCGAAAGATAATGAAGAAACCCTTGGGTGCTGATTTGATATAATGCGAGGTAAAATGGGTTGAGTTGGATTGATCACTTGGTCATATATAGGTGACTGTTAGAAGTGAAAACTCAGGTTGCCACTAGGTGACAGTTCTCTCCTGGATCTGACATGAGACTCCTCTGCGCAGGAACACCAGTTCAGGATCTTGCTGACATAGAAATAAGAGGTATGAACGAAGGGAGGGATGGAAGGAGGTAAAGTAATCCCTCTTCCGTCGTTAACCAAACGATCAGGTGTTGTTTTAGTTTGCATACTCTTTTTAGAAATGTTAAATGTTGGTCCTAAGCATAAACCAAAATAAAATAAATATTCAAAATGATAGAATGGTGGAACTAAGTAGTGAATGGGGAGGGTATGAAGGCGAACCAAGAAAAATAACAAAGAGAAACTCAAAATTAATGTTTGCTCATGTAATGGAGAGGAAAATTAGACCTGAGATTCCAGTGACCAAAATGAAGAATAGAAGCCTAATGGATTCTGAAAACTATCCAGAGAAATGAAAATACCCCTAGCTCTGGATTGTCAGAGGCATTTATCACCTGAACTTGAAGCGAGAAATCATTTGAACAATATAATAAATAGAGAAACATTGGTAACATTAAATTTCTACTGACATTTCGTAGATCTCTGAACACAGCTTATTAAATATGTAAAATCCAGAGTCAGTATTCAAATTTATATTGCTACAATAAAAAGTTCACAGCAGTGCTCTCAAATACTTCAATTCCTAGTCGCCAGTAATTCCAGTCCCCAATTCCCTACTCCATTAACTATAGTATTCCAATTATTCATTAACGTAATTATCACGGCTATAAACATGATTCACACACAATGGGAACAATCCTAACAATTTACAGTAATCTAGAATGTTAAATTGGAACAAGGTGCACATAACCATCTATTCAGTCCACTCTGTGCTCTTTCTTTCCACGACCATTCTTCACAAGCTCCTGGAATGCTTTGAAAACAGACTCTTGAACCCTGCTATCAGAAATGTTGACTTAGTACATATGGTTTGGGCTCAGCTATCTGCTATTATTCTTACTGTTTCTATAAGGCTTATTCAGAAGAGTTATTCAGAAATCACAGCTCTTCTGTCTGGCTTAGGAGTCCTCTCTAGGCCTGATGGCCATTGTTTGCCCACCACTTGTTAAGGAATATCTTGAGTTCATGAAAATGGCTTCTGTTGTGTGAAAATTTTCACTTTCAAATCATTTTATCTTTTAACCACAATAACTTTTGAAATGTTTTATTTTTTTCCATTTGAGCTTCAGTTCTTAAGACCCCACTGTTCCTGTAGACTGTGTATGACATATTTAAAAATCTTGCAAAATAGTCTAAACATATCAGGAATTATATTATCTCCATACAGAATTCTATACAGAATTTTTTTTTCAAGTGAAATTTTACCATACAACGGCTCACCCTTAAAAAAATGTGTGTATTGAAAGTTGAAATATAGTTAATCGAAGCTGATTAACTGTATATCTCTACTTAAAATCTAAAAAGCAAATTTGAACATTCTTTAATCAGTAATACGTTTATACTGACAGACTGTTATCTTTCTTGAAGGTAAAGCCCCCGACCCATTTTTAGAAATCATTTGGAGTTATTTATTTAAAGTAATTGCTGCTATTTTTGACAGTTCCCTAAAAATTGTCTTCCTCTAGGAAACTTCTTTTGCTTCTCTACATATGGAGCATGATGCTCAGAGTGTGGCCTGAATTGAAGCTCTTGGGCTGCTTAGAATGAATAATAAATAGCTGGAATACTTTATAAGTCATGAGTTTCAAATTAAGAGAGTAACAACAAAATAACCTTATAACATTGAATATACCCTCCTAAGGAAGATTCACAGCAAGTATATGAGTCCCATGTGGCAAACATGGCTACATGAGATGACATGAAAATAAACTTACTGTAAGGGGAAGGATTTAATTAGGTCTGCCATATTTCTCAAGGGGATAAAAAAATACGAAACGACAATTACTTTGCAACTGCACAATAGAAAGACTGGCTGAATGTGGAAGAGTTTCTCTTTATTCTTTACATTTTAAAATATAAACTGATTGGGCTTTGGATATAAGTGGTCTGTAAAAGAGACAATTAGTAAATGGTTAGATGAAATAAGCCCTCTCATTTAGGTATGTCACAGCATATGTCCCTAGAGTGAGGGGAATTTCTTCAACACCAACCGCTGCTGAGAGATTCTGCTATGTGCAATGTGTAGAGGCTGAAGCATTGCTTCCTTTCAGGGAACTCTGGAACCAGAAAGCAGTCTCGACATCGGGTCCTCATTCAGCTGCCAACCAATGGAGGCCGGGACTGCTCAGACCCTTTGTATGAAGAGAAGGCTTGTGAGGCACCTCCCACGTGTCACAGCTACAGGTAAAAATGAAAAGGATGTACATGGTGCACTGGGTAATTCCCGAATACATCGTTTAAGCTGGTATTCTTTCCACCAGTTCAGTAGGTGTACATTGCTCAAGCAACCATCCCTCACCTGTATTTCAGAGAACCTCTCCATTTCTGATGTTACCTTCCTGAAGGCAAAAATATGTGTCAATTTCCAACTGTTTAGGTACCTCTAGTAGGTGAGAAGAACATCTTATATTGATATAAATTATAAGAAGTGCATAAAAGAGTTTATAATTACAAGATACATGTTCCTTAGGAAGGGACTTCTTTGTCACTGGGGAATAATAACCAAGATTGTCTCTCTTGTCTCCAAAGAGCCCCTGTTTCTCGTAATGTGAGCACTGAGGCTCAGGAAATGACATTGTTCTACTGAAATGCTAGGGAGAAGTCTGTTCTATTCATCTATTTGCAATTCTAGGAAAGCTGAAGTCATTGAAACTACACATAACCTGAAATTTTTATTATAGGAACCTGGCCTCCTTGACATTAAGACTGAAACTTTCTCATTGAACCTTGCTGAAGTGTGTCATTGCAGTTCCGACAACAAATGAAACACTATATAGTATGGCACTAACTCAAGAAATGTGTGATCACAACATGATAACTAAGTGGTGATTAGTGGCAAATTGCCGTATTCATACATGTATCACCAATTCAGAGGTGACAAATGTCATTACTATGTATTTACACAATGAACATTACTGACTGCTTTCCCAACGTATTGATTTTTGGAATTTGCTTTCAGTAGGGGATATTATAATTTCAGTCGCTGTTACCTCTGCAGTGATCATCCAAAGTTCACTGACTCAATGGAATGCAACACTTCTGGTGCCAGCTGGGGCATCTCTTGGAAGTATAAATAAGAAGTTCAAATGCTTCCTGTCACTCTGTGAAGTCTGCTTCTACAGAACTTGCTAATGATATAGTCTTGTTTGTAGTGCCATAAAAAAGAATTTTGTATTTAATGTTGCCTTTAGAAGGGGTTAGTGAGTAGCTAAATTAAACTTAGGTAAAAAATGAACATGGATAAACAGCCTGCTTTTTGTTAACACATTATCTCTGTGATTTGCCTGCCGTTTTGCTTCTTCTCACTGAGATTTTATTCTCCTCCTGTAGGTGGAAGACTCACAAATGGCGCAGGTGCCAGTTAGTCCCTTGGAGCATTCAACAGGATGTCCCTGGAGCTCAGGAAGGCTGCGGGCCTGGACGGCAGGCAAGAGGTGGGAGAATGCACACAAGGGTCGATTTGCTTCGCACTTCTTCATTATTTTATCTTGTATCTCCCCCACCACTGCCTTGTTGCATTTTGCTTTGATATCAGGTTTGGCATACAGAGCAGAGCAGGTACGCACAGCTTTACACAAATCTACAAAACACTAAGAAACAGAAACTTAGCTTTTGAAATTTTGTTCTTTGGAATGAACACATAACTGTTGAGTTCTTCCCTCGTTAATAGGTGGAAGAAAATCTGGTGCAGGTTTTGGTTATGGCATAATGATATCACTAAGCATTTGTGTGTTTTTCAACAATGACAGTTTATAGAACTTTATTTGAGATCTTAAAAATCACTATGATTCATACATCTTTGTTTGTACATCACACTTGTCCATACACATAATGTAGTAAAGCTGGATAGCTTTCCTGGGTTTCCTAATGGTGACAACCCTAATATCACAGAAGTTATCCATGACCCCGATGATACTGGTGCTGGCTTTTAAGTTGCATATTTATTTATTCAAACTTGCAGTACAGGAAGTGCAGACTGTCTGCACATCTACAAAACAAAGAATCCTGTAGAAGTGAGTGGTAGAAAGTTTCCAGATTTGCATTAAGTGCTGGATTTTTATAGGAAATAAATTTCAAGATTTGGAGTATATTGTTTATACCCATGCATGAAATAGAAAAGCTGGGGTTTAGATATTTCATTATTTTAACTTATACAGACTGTCGATCGTTAATACGTATACCAGAAATGTAACATAATATATACTTGCACATGCCTCTGCCTTTCTTTAACCTCTAAAGATGAGCTTTGCTCTGTCATTTGTATTTATTTTCTTAATGAGGATAGAAAAGTTTGAAAATACAGGACAGAATTCCCATTTTTGTAGACTTTACTATGAAGTTGAGCCTTTACATTAAAAAATATTCCTTTTAAAAATAATATATTTTTACATAGTTCTTTTAAGAAATCTTCATTCGAAATATAAATTTTACTCTATTATTTATATTATTTGTAGTGCAATGCCTGCTCTACATGCTAGGTATGGTTCACGAGTCGGGCAAGGGGCTGGAGATTAAAACACACACACACACACAGACACGGGTAACACCAAGTATGTCCTCTTATTGTGATCCATGGGAGCTTATATAGGGTGTCTTGACTAATAGCTACACCCTAACTCTCAGCTGCAAGACCCTCAGAAACCACTCCCCTGCTATCAGGAACTCCTGAGGTTCTCATGCTCAGAACTGCTGCAGAGCAAGTTCTTTACTCAGGCAGAGAGGGGGTCTATGGGTCCACAGTCCCCCATAATTATTGACATGGTGATATTTAGGATTGACCTTTACTTGAATAGCTTCCACTGAGTCCCTTCTGCTGTGGGGGATGTTGTCTGTGATATCCCATGAGCTAACTTGATGTTCTGATCCTTTGTGTCTCAAGCAGTGAGTCGGGCAGCACAGACCATCTCATACTGATAGTGAAAAATACAGAAATATTGAAAATTGAAGTAAAGTGCTGACTGTCCTGAAGAGGATGGGAACAGGTTCTGGCAAATGTGCAGGTTAAAAGCTCTAGGTTTAGGGTCCAGGTACATTTATTTATCTGAAGACAAAGAAAAGTTCTCTGATGGGGTGAATCTTTCCTTGGCTGGTGTGTGTGTGTGTGTGTGTGTGTGTGTGTGTGTGTGTGTGTGTGTAATACTAGCAGGGACTTGTCCATTCCTTGAGATAGCCTGGGACTATCCAAGTGATAGCCTTCCTTGGTTTCTGGGTCACACAGTTCTGATCCCATCTTTCAGTCTCATCTCTGTCAAAAACCTTAGATAAAAACAGCTCGGAATAGAGCTATATTGAACCGAGTCACCCTTCCCACTGTAAATTTTTCTTCAAAACAATGTAGAAAAGCAAAGACTTATCATTTGCTGACCACTCTCCCTTTAAACCAAGTATGAATTTATGTACATTTCTGGCTTCACACAGAGTTGCTAATGATCAGGGACATGGGTTAGTTTGGAAGTCAAGATATTCAAGTTTCATTTCCAATTCTAGTACAAATGCAAAGTGGAATTTCCTCATCTAATCCTTCTCTGTGGAACAGAAAAATTCTGGCTCAAATGTAGAATTCTTTCCATTTTAATATATAACCACACACAAATAGTTCTCTGAGATCAATGGTCAGAACATGAAAGGCATATTTTATAGAATACCACTAGAGAAAATGTTGGATATGATTATGCAGGCTAGTTTTGTGTCAACTTGACAGAGCTAGAGGCACCTGAGAGGAGGGAGCCTCAGTTGTCTCGACAGGTTTTCATGTAGGCAGGCATGAGGTACATTTTCTTAACTAGTTATTGATATAGGAGGGCCCAACTCATTGTGTGTGGTGCCGTCCTGGGCTGATGGTCCGGGGTTCAATAAGAAAGTGGGCTGAGCAAGCCTTGAGGACATGATCATTGCTTCATGCCTTCTGCATCACTTCCTGTCTACACATTCCTGCTACCTTTCAATTCCTGTCCCGACCTCCATCAATGATAAAGAATGATATGAAATCATAATACAAATAAACCCTTCCCTTCTAAAGTTGGTTTTAGCCATCGTGCCCAATCAAAGCAATAGTACCCATTAGCAAGACAATGATAAAAGTGGTACACATGTGAAATGACTTCATAATTCAAAACTCTGCTATTAAAAGCTTTACAAACTTGAGTGATTCACTTCCTCCCTTTGAGGATAAACACAAAAGCTTTGTAGAACTGGGCTCATGTTGTCTTCGTTAAAAGATAATTCCTTCCCCTTCCTGTCAATTCATAACCCTGATGACTGATATCACAGGGCACAGCGTCCACAGTATGAACAAGGACATCTTGCTGTTTTGACACACGGTCTGTACAGAAGCTGATTCCTTCTGGTGTTTATTGACATTAGCGTTTCTAAATCTCATAGACGTTGTTGTTTTCTGGTCCTAGCGAATACTTCTTAATATCTAATACATTTACCCACTTTCTCTTGGAAAAGGAAAGTTGTCTATGGCTTCCTCAATGTCACTTTCTTTCGACTTTTGAAGGTTCATTTGTTGGCTTCCTGTTTGGTGGCTCTTCCTCCCCCAGTCTTTAAGCAATGCTTTCTAATCTTGGCTCAGTCCCCACACTGCTCACTCTGCCCCAGAAATCTTATGCATTTCAGGAAATTTGGGAGGACAAATTTGCATTGTACTAACTGGTTTGTGTGTAGTTCACTTTAGGAAAACAACTTTCATGAAAACAAACTTCTTGCCGGGCGGTGGTGGCGCACGCCTTTAATCCCAGCACTCGGGAGGCAGAGGCAGGCGGATCTCTGTGAGTTCGAGACCAGCCTGGTCTACAAGAGCTAGTTCCAGGACAGGCTCCAAAGCTACAGAGAAACCCTGTCTCGAAAAAAAAAAAAAAAAAAGAAAACAAACTTCTTGTCTTTATTATTCCAGTCCATGGAGATTTCTTTTTCTTGCCTATGATCCTATGGGCATGAGAATGAGGGAACTATCTTTTGTTCTTGGAAAGAAAGAAATGTGTTCTTATATTGATGTTCATGGTTTATTCCAAAACTGTGAATGATTAGTTTGCTAATGTCTCAGTGTCTTTATCATTGACATCATATGGTAACAGGCAAAATAAAATGAAAGAAAATGTTTTCCTTTAGTTATTGAAGTTATCATGTTGTATTAAGTCATCAAAGTCTATAGAATAGGAAGGTCTGTGTTGTCTAGTTTGTCAGACTTCCTATTCTAGCCATACATTCATTTGTGGCTGCATTAAGAAGGCTATGCAGAAAAAAGCATGGGTGTTGAAAAAAAGGCTGGGGAGATTGAAACCAAGGAGGTAGCGTTTCTTAGGGAAATGAGATCATTTACTTTCACCCAACAAATAGGATGTAGACACTAAAAGCAATTGATTGCAAATCGGATCATTTGAAGTTGAAGGAGCAGGAAAGACTTAAAGCACCGGCTTCCACTTGACTTGTCCCATCTACCTAGAATAAGCAGAAAGGAGAGAGGAATGTGCAAAGTGATCGGTTCTATAAGCTAAGTATTGTAGCTATGAAATATAATTAATAAGCTCATTAAAAAGTGGGTAGGTTGAGGCCACAGATATGTGAGCTGAAGCCTGGAGAGATTTTTGCGGATACCTATAAATGTCAGGATCAGTGTTTGAGACTGTGTTCAATAAGTGAGAAAAGCAAGGCCTTTTATCTGTCAGCATGTGCAGGATAAATTAGAACGTCAAAACACTTGGGTCCAGCTTCTGGCTAAGATACTGTTGGAACAATAAAAGGCTGAAGTATCAGAGGTCCAGATGAGAGCCACAGTATGAAAATGTACAGAAATAAAGAGATACTGGATTTAAAATAATGAAGATGTTTGTATGACTTCATGACAGAAAACAGAATGGGTAGTAGAAATAAGAATTAAAGTTGAAACTTGTACTCCCTAACTCCAATATTTTCAACTTCATATTACTTATGTTGGTGGAAACTTTTAATTCTGAATGCAGAGCTAATTTGGAAGGCTATAATTTGTATAATTTATATAGTATAGTCACCAAGTACAAAGTGCCTAATCTAAGGTTGAAAGGGATATGTAACTGTAAAGGTGACATAAATGGTAGGTGGTTATTTGATCAACATTTCATAAAATGGTTTGCTGTACTATAGAAAACTTCACATCTCTCGTAGATATCATATGTATTTATATTAAAATATGGTAATAATATTTTTCCATTAGTATATTTCCTCCAGCCTACACACATTCTAAGGTTCTTTAATTATTTCTTTTAGTCTAAAGAATGTAGATTAAAATTAATATTTCTATAACTTAGTACTTTACATTAGAAATCAATTATATAAATTAAAATATAGCCACTACTATTGAACACAGTGCTAGAACTCTAAAAATAGATATATTTATTTTATACCATTTATCAAATGATTTGCCTAAACTATGGACTGTCAACCAAATCCAGTC